TGTGATGTCAGATAGTCTATTAGAAAATTTTCTTGTTTCTTGAGGTAGGCCTGTAGTGCTATGAACTTCCCTCTCAGAACTGCTTTCACTGCATCCCATAGATTTTGTATTGTTGTGTGTTCATTTTCATTGGTTTCCAGGAAGTTTTTAATTTCTTCCTTGATCTCCATGGTAGCCCATTCATTGTTCAATAACATGCTATTTAGCCTTCATGTTTTCAAATGTCTTTGCATGTTCTTGTTGCTATTGATTTCTAGTTTCAGACCATTGTGATCTGAGAAGATGCTTGATATGATTTCAATTTTCTTGAACTTGTAGGGACTTAGTTTGTGCTCTAACATGTAGTTTATCTTTGAGAATGTTCCATGTGCACTTAAGAAGAATGTGAATTCTGCAGTATTGGGGTGCAATTCTCTGTAGATATCTATTAAATCCATTTAATCTAGCGCTTCATTTAGAGTCTGCGTTTCCTTGTTAATTTTTTGTCTGGATGTTCTATCCAGTGATGTCAGCAGGGTGTGAAGTCCCCTGCAATGATTGTATTCCTGTTGATTTCTCCTTTGAAGTCCTCCCAAAGTTTTAAAATATATTTTTATGCTCCTATATTGGGTGCATATATGTTTACCAAGGTTATATCTTCCTGTTGGATAGATCCTTTCAATATTATGTAGTGACCTTCTTAGTCTCTAGTTATGGCCTTCATTTTGAAATCTACTTTATCAGATATGAGTATTGCTATCCCAGCTTTTTTTTTGCTTTCTGTTTGTTTGAAAGATTTTTTCCATCCCTTCACTTTCAACTTATGTGAGACTTTTGTTGTGAGGTATGTCTCTTGTAAACAACATATATATGAGTCCCGCTTCTTATCCAGTCAGCTACTCTGTGTCTTTTCATCAGCACATTTAAACCATTCACATATAAGGTGATAATTGATATGTACTTATTTATTGCCATTTTCGTTTAGTGTGGTTCTATTTTTCTTCCTATTTCTTCTAATTATAGCAGTCCTTTTAGCATATCTTGCAGTGCTGGTAATATATTTCCTTAGCCTTTTTTTTTTTTGGTTGGGGAAGCTCTTTATTTGAACTTCTATTTTGAATGATAGCCTTGCTGGATTCAGATCCTTGTTTTTCATGACCTTGATTACTTCATGCGACTTTCTTCTGGCCTATAGTGTTTCTGTTGAGAGGTCAGCTGAGAGCCTTATGGGGTTTCCTTTGTAGGTAACCTGTTGCTTATCTTTTGCTGCCTTTAGGATTCTCTCTTTGTCTTTAATTTTTGGCATTTTAATTACTATGTGTCTTGGTGTGGGCCTGTTTGGGTTCTTCTTATTTAGGGCTCGCTGTGCTTCTTGAACTTGAATGCCTTCTTCCTTCACCAAGTTAGGAAAGTTTTCTTTCACCATTTCTTCAAATATATTCTCTAACCCTTGCCCATTTTCTTCCTCGTCCGGGACTCCTATGATGCGAATGTTGTTACGTTTCCAGTTGTCCCACAATTTTCTTAAGCTATCTTTCAGTTTTTTTATTGTTTTTTCCTTTTGGTTTTCTGATTGGTTGATTTTTTTCTACCCTGTCTTCTAATTCACTGATCTGGTCCTCAGCTTCCTCTATCTGCTGTTTCGTCCTTCCAATGTGTTCTTTATTTCTGATATGTCATTCTTTATTTCCACTTGGTTGGTTTTCAGTGTTTCTGTATCTTTACTCATGGTGCTGATGTCCTTACTCATGCTGTTGAGTTTCCTCAAAATCATGGCTCTGAACTCTACCTCTGATAATTTGCTTAACTGCATTTCATTGATCTCATCTTTGATAGAGATGTCTTGTTCTTTCATTTGGAATTTGTTTCTTTGTTTCACCATTTTGGCTGTCTCAGTGGGTTTTGGAGCGTGCCAAATTTTCCCTGTGGGTGTTGGTGTTCTGCTGTTTGTGGCTTCCTCTACTGAGTTTGGATGAGCCTGGATGGACCCACATTAAACACCACTGTCAACTCTTACATTCCTGGGTAGATTTGTAAGCCCAGGAAAGGTTCAGTTATCCTCTAGCTTTTTCCTGGAGGCCAGTAGTCTCAGTTACTCAGTACCTTGGAATGTAGCCCTGGTGTTCTGCATAAGAGGATTTCCAGAGCATGGGATAGATGCTGGTTGTTAATGAGCCTCAATTTGGATTTTTTTGCTTCACCCGGGAAAGGCTAAATCTCTGGGGGTGGGGTTGAGGGTGGGGGCTGCTTTCCCCCACAGCTCTTGGAAGGACCACACTGGCCACTGTCCTTTGTGGCCGCAACTCAGCAAAAACTTTGAGTGCCCTCCAAAACCCGGGTGTCCCCACAAAGTTCCAGCCCAGTCTGCCCTCCCTCTGCCGTAGGCCCCAGGTGAGTGGCTGTGGCTAATTTAGCACTCTGTCCAGGCTCTTTGAGGTATGGAGCAGGTTTGATCTTTATTCCCCAAGGGCGTTGCTCACAGCTAAGACTGCTGGCTGTCCTTGGGATCCCAGCCCGCCACCCTCTTGAGCCTCCACAGATCCTACCAGTGTCTCTGGTTATATGGTCCTGTCCTGTTGTTTTTCTGTTGCTTTTTTCTGATGATTTGTCTGTATTTTAGTTGTAATTCTTGTTTGGTTCTGGGAGATCATCTGTGTAGCTTCCATTCACTCCACCTGCATTTTCACATCCTCTAAGCCTATCTTGTCCGCAGCTGGGTAGCACAGGCCTCTCTGGTGCCCCCGCACTCTGCAGGTCCTGCGGGTAACTGTATTGCACAGTCCTTTTGGGGACCCGGCTATGCCTATTTTATGGGCTGCTGGGTCGCATAGGCCTCTCTAGTGCTTCAGCACCTCGCAGGTCCCGCAGGTAACTGGATTGCACAGTCCTTGCTGGGTTGCACTGGCCTCTCTGGTGCCCCTGCACCCTGCAGATCCCGTGGGCAGGCAGCTGGATCGCACCAGTCCCTCTTGGGCTCTGGCTTCCCACTGCTCTTGTGGGCTACTGGACCGCAAAGGCCTCTGTGGAGCCCCAGCTCCCGCCGCTGGTGGCTGGGGAGTGCTGCTGCCCCTTGGGGCTCAGCTCCTGCTCAGCTTTTGCTGTAGTTTTTGGGGATGGGTCTCAGCTGCTGGTCTGTGCTTCTGTTGCCTGGGGATGGATGTCTACTCCCCAGCCTCTGTTGCTGGGGGTATATCTTGACTCTGATCGGGCTGCTACTGTGGGGGATGGTGCTGGGCTCTCAGCTGTCTGCGGCTTCTGCAACTGGCACCTTGGGAGCTCCGCTACTGTGCACTGTCTGTGTTGACACAGAGTGTCCACTGGTCCAATGGTGCCAGGTGCGCGGGTGGGCTCAGGTTGCTGGGCCCTAGCCGCTCCCACTGCCTCCTCCCAGGGAAGACCCGTCATCTTACCAAATGGTGGGACCTCCCCAGGCTCAGGGAGAAGTGCCCTGAAGGGCTGCTTACTGCGGTAGCCGGCTGCTCCGTCCACAGCACAGGGACCTTCTGCTCTGCGACTCTGCACTGCTTGGGTGTGGTCGTCCACCTTCACGTCCACTCACTACTCTCTCACACACTCACCCTCCCTCCGGTCCTGCCTGCTACCATCTTTTCAGAACTAGAATATTTTCGATACCATTGATGCTATGAGAGTCTGATTCCATGCCCAGGTATCCATTATCCTGAATTTATTCTCTTACACTTTTGCTTTTTCCAAGCACTGTTTTATCACATATGTATATATTTCTAATGAATTAAATTTGCTAGTTTATTGAGTTTTATAAAATAGTATCATATGTGATTTACTCTGAGACTTAATTTTTCCACTCAATATACCTTTAAGAGTTAAACATATTGTTGGAAGTAGTGGTAATTTATTCTGTTCTCATTGTTATGTACCATTCTATTGTATGTATTTTACCCATCTCTTGTCTCCAGTTTTATTTTGAACAGCACTGCTATTAGTATTCTATATGCCTCCTAATGTACAAGGGTGAGAGTTTTTCTTATGTACCTAGGAATGCACCTTCTGGGTCGCTGGGTGATTTACAAATAAGCAAACACAAATTAATTGTATGAACTCAAACATTTTAGAAAATGCTTAGGCAGAAGATGAGCAGATTGTGGATGATTTAATAGTAGACTTAGCCCTGACCAGTTTGCTTCAGCAGTTAGAGCATCGACCTACTGTCCAGAGAGACCTGGGTTCAGTTCCCACTAAGGGCATGTACCTCGGTTGCAATTTGTTCTCAGCCCTGGTTGGGTCATGCAGGAGGCAGCCACTTGATAAGTCCCTTTCATGTCGATGTTTCTCTCTCCCTCTCTCTCTCCCTCCCTCCCTCCCTCCCTCCCTCCCTCCCTCCCTCTCTTCTTCTCTCTCCCTCCCACTCTATCTGAACAAAAAATGGACAGATGTCCTCAGATGAGGATTAAAAAAAAAATAGTAGACTTAGAAGGGCATTGTATGGAGTAGGCTTCTATTCCCCAGAGACTTGGTGTAGAAGAATAGACAAATTCTAAAGAAGGCAAAACCTTCATCAAACTTTTTAACTGTGAAGTTTGAGAACTCACAACCCATTGCCAACTAAGTTATAGTAACGTGTTCTTAAAATTTAAAAGACTACAATAATCATTAATTGTCTGGGATGATTTGATCATATCCTCTTTTTAGAACAAAAGGGGTGGTCTATAAAAACTGTGAAAAAGTAATGATACTATTCCTCATATCACACTTGAAAATTAGTTTCATTCCCTTAGTGACACTTATAGGTGAGTGTTCAAATGTTCTTATAAGCTTTTAAGTGTTATGTGACTCTCTCTGATATAAACTTTGTCCTATTTTAATATTGATAATGATAGTTTTATTGTAAAACTGCAAATTCACCAAATGTATGTATCAATGTATGTGTATACGTGTGTGTGTATATTTTAATATAATATATAATTTTCATTGATTACTTGGAGGTTTATATTATATATAGTAGTTTAATTTGCATTTCACTTTATCTTTTTCCTCCTGTTAAGTTTCAGACTCTCTGGCTCAATCTGTAATTCAGCATCTAAGATGGATAATGCAGAAGGATCTTCTGGGGCAGGATGTCTTTCTGATAGGACCTCCGGGGCCTCTTCGACGCTCTATCGCTATGCAGTACCTGGTGAGCAGTTGATTCTTGTGCATTTGTAAGGGTCTTAACATGTTGGAAAGTAACTTAAGATTAAGAATTTATAAAAATACCAAGATTAGTCATTACTTGAAGAAAATTGTTAATGTTGAAGATTGATTTGTTTACAAAGAGTTTGGAATAAATTATTTGGGAAACAAACATATTGCTTTTCATAGCTTTAGCAAGTTTTTGTGATAACTAGAAAGCCGTCCACTTCTAGTTGGAAAGGAAATATAAATTCAGTCAATGATTAGCAGATAGACTCAGCAACTCTGAGATTACAAAACAATACTTAGATTTATACTACTTAGGGAACATTCTTTTATCTCAGATCCACATTTTAAAAGGCCAAATAATTCTCTGACTTTTTTGATATTAAATGATCTTTAGAAAGAGAGCCTAAAGTTTGTAGAATATCTCTTGTGTTACACACTCTCTTTATTTCTTTAAATAAATGAGAAACAAGTGCATTAAGTACATCACTCCAGCTTTATTCAGCTGTAAGTAACGGAGCTAGACTTCAACTCTCATGTTGTTTCTTTTTCTGACATGTTATCCTTTTAAATGTTTGCAGTTCTCTGAGAACATTGTGAAGTGAGTTGAACTATTCAGTTCTCAACCAAAATAAACAATATTATAAGACTTTTTTTTTCTACTTTGTCGTCATTAATAGGCATCGCTCTAGTGATTCGAGAAAGACTGTTATCAAATGAAGTTGTTTTGTTCTGAAGGTACTTTTTAGGATGAAGAGAAAAATCTTGCTTAAATCTGCCTTGTGTTCTTAATATTAAAGAATTTATTTTTATGCTATTGAAACATACTTTATGTACTCTTTTATGTCACTGTTGAATTTATTTTGGTATTCACAAAATCATGTAGGGCAGGAATGATAATATGAGGAATAAATCGTAACCTAACTATCTCTAGCCCATACATTTCATATCTTTTGTTCCGAGAACCAGTTGGTGAGGTATAATGTGCTATTGTATGCACCGTATCCTCACTTTATTAATGTACAAGGCAAATGTGTCTTATTTAAGAATGCAGTCAGCTACTGAGAATCTGCTGTCTAGAACCTCTTTAATTTGAAGATGTGTGCATTCTACCTGGCTAATTTCAAGGACTACAATATCTCACTTTGAACTTGTTTCTGGCAAGACTTTGAACCATGTCAGGAAGGAATAAGGAATGAGAAAGGCTAGGAAATTGTAGGAGTCTTCTTGGATAAAAAATGCAACATAAGTTTATAAGGGTGAAGTCTGTATTTTAAAACAAAACAAAACTTTAGACTGTGAAATAGACCTGAGGCAGTTTTACAACGTGAAAATACACATAAGAAGGCTGCGGTTCATCCTGGCCCTGGTCGGGGTTGAGCAGGAGGAAACCAGTCGATGTGTCCCTCACACATAGATGTTTATCTCCCCCCCGCCCCCCACCCTATCTGAAGATAAAATAGAAAAATATTCTCTGGTGAGGATTAAAAAAAAAAAAAAGAGCCCTGGCCTGTTTTGCTCAGCGATTAGAGCGTTGGCCTGCGGTCCAGAGAGACCCGGGTTCGGTTCCCACTAAGGGCACGTACCTTGGTTGCAGTTTGTCCCCGGCCCTGGTTGGGTCGTGCGGGAGGCAGCCACTCGATGTGTCCCTTTCACATCGATGTTTCTCTCTCTCTCTCTTCCTCCCACTTTATCTGAACAAAAAATGGAAAAATGTCCTCAACTGAGGGTAAAAAAAAAAAAGAGAGAAATACACATAAGAAAACTTACCAGCCCAAGCTACCTTGCAAACTTTTCAGTGGATGCTATTGCCATTAGATATAAGGGCCTATGCTTAACTTAGTAATAGCCACAAAAGATGAGGTCTATATTTTGGGGCAAACCTACTAAATCAATGAGAAATTAAGTAGAAATAATTTGATAGTTGTGTTTACACTTAAATCATATATTTTTATTTTTATTTTTTTATCCCTATCCAAGGATATTCTTTGCATTTATCTCCAGATAGAGCAGGAGGGAGAGAGGGAGGAAGAGAGAGAGAGAGAAACATTGACATGAGAGAGACACATCAACTGGTTTCCACCCACATGACCCCAACCGGGGCCAGGGACAAACCGCAATGGAGGTTTGTGCCTTTAGAGGGAACCGATCCCGGGACTCTGTGGTGCTCAGGTCGATGCTCTAACCAGTGAACAAAACCAGCCAGGGCACACTTAAGTCATATAAAAGGGATTTTGTAGACAGTTCAAAAAAACTAGCAGATCACTGCCGCCTCCTCCATCTGCTGCTCTGGTGCTGTTTGTGAGCTCGTGGGAATGCTTGTGAGGCAGCAGCTGAGACTTCGGTGCTCGTTAGGCTGCTGAAGAGCCCAGGAAGCTGTCAAGACCGAAGCAGCATCCTCAGTGTGGCCGTTCAGGCTAATACTGTGGTACAATTTAGTGGTAAGAGGCGCGCATCACTTTGTCAACCAATTTGAATGATAGGGTTTCAGAAGCAAGAAGTGGGTATCTGCTAAAAGGAGAACTTGCTACTTTACTCCAAAAGTGTATGCTCACAGGCAATTTATTCTTATTTAAAAAAACATCATTATAACCATGTGTGTTTTCTTTATTTAAAAATTTTCCTTCTTTCCATACATACTTAAATTTATGGGTGCATGGGAACTGGCACATTTTAAAAAAACTAATTAACAACGATAATATATTTTCATCAACATCACATGGAAATAAAGTGAAAAAAAATCCCTTTTCTGGAGTATAAAGGAATTTATTGGAGTATAAAGAAATAAGCTGAATGAGTATGTGATTAATGACCATTAATAGCATGCTCATTCAACTATTTTCTTTATACTCCAGTCAATTAGTTTGTTTTCCCTGTTTAGTGAAAACATATTGTATGCCTTATTCAATTGGAGAATGTCATTGTTTTTAATTCAGCATTGTAAAATCAAGGATAGTGTTAAAAATATTTTGTTCATTGATATTACTTGTAGAGAAAAATGACTTTAGGAATGGATAAATTATTCTAAAAGAAATGGATTCTAGATCGTTTTCCCTTCAAATCATATGTGACTTTTGTGGGGGTGTGTAAAATAATTACCCCCCCCCTTCATCCTTTTCCTCCTTTTTTTCCTTCTTGAATAGCTGTGTATGTGTCTCTCTTTTCTGTTGATCTGGCTGTTGGTTTTTACCTTATTTTCACATGTACCTAACACACTGTATACAATTGGTAAACATTGGCTAGTGGAATTAATGTAAATCAACCTTAAAAAAAGTTAAGCGTTACTTGCAGAAATGGCTATCATTTGGTAGAAAACCAAGTAGCCAAATTATTACTCATGATACTTGAAAAGAATTCTATAGGAGACATTAAGATTTATAAGATCTCATTTTTATTATTGCTTAAGTAGTAAATAATTATTAAGTGCTAAATTATGGGGTGAAGTAAAAGCAGAACTCTACATGTTTTGATTAAGGTTCAATTTATTGCGTTTTTCTCAAAGCTAGACTCAAAAGGTTTTAATCCAGAAATGCATTTAAATGCTTTTCTCTAGGGCAATGGCATCGTCAGCTCCCAAGCATATGTTGGGAATTAGATTTGATTTTGGAACAATTTTACTCTCTGTTCTACAGGAGCTGACCAAACGGGAAGTTGAATACATTGCCTTGTCCAGGGACACCACGGAAACGGATCTCAAACAGCGCCGGGAGATCCGCGCAGGCACGGCCTTCTACATCGACCAGGCAAGTTCCCAGCGCCTCTGACCCGTGACTGTTTACTCCAGGTCTCTGCGGAGCTGATTTTAAAAGCAGGAGAGTGGTAGCTTATGTAGTAGTGAAAGATAGCTGTACTGTCTGTACCCTCTCTAGACAGATCTGATTTAGATTTTTTGAGTTTCTGTTCTTGGAAATGCCTTCTTGGTTGAGTACTAAATAGGAAACCATGGATGAAATTAATGGTTCTAAAATGTTGGCTAAAGATCATTTATGCTGTTTCCTTAAATTTTCGGTTACTTTCTACTACTTGCCTATAGAAATTTGAGTTTTTGAAAAGAATTGAGAAAATTTTAATATAGGTTATTTTCTAGCACATTTATTAAAGTATTCTCAGTCTAAAGGTCTAGTAGGTATAGGTGTATTAAACATAGTGAAATTAAATTTATACTTCCAGGAACTAAAGCTTTTTTTGGCAGGGGTGATTTTTTACCAACTAAAATAATATTTTATGACTATTATCATGAAGCTGGTTATACATTTCTTCTGATTATTGCTTAAAATATTAGATATTGTTCTTTGTTTGGAATACCTATAGAAAAAAGGATAGAGACTTTAAATGAGCAATTCATAGAAAACATATTTTAAATGTCCAACACATCTGTGGCAAGATGCTTGACCATTTTATTTACAAAAATAAAAGCAATAGTGCACTGCTATCTTTCTTTCACCTCTCGGATTGGCAAAGAAGAAAGTATTGCTAATGTCCATCGTTGATGAGGAAAAGGGGCTGAGGAGGGAGCATTGCTGTTGATGCAGTTTGAAAGAAAGTTAGGCAAAATCTGCTGAAAGAATATACTTTGACCCAGTAGTTATGTTTCTAGCAATTTTTCTTCCCAATGTTATTCAAAGTTATATGTACAAGGATGTTTATTGAAGTATTATTTGATATCATATAAAACTATAATAATGTATATTTAGGAGGTAAATAAAAAAATGAGAAACAGAGTCTGTGTAGACTTTAAAAAGAATGAGGTGAATCTATATGTGATGATAAGAAAGAAGACCAGGATGTGAATGAAAAATACTAAGTTGCAAAACAGTGTTTATAATATGATCCTGTTTGTGATAAAAAGAAAAAAAATACATAAATGTTTGTGTGCACATTGAAAATTTCCAGAAGGAAACTGGAGTCAGCTATCAGAGCTAACCTCTGTGGAAATGTGATTAGCCATCTGGAGTGGGGTGAGGAAGGAACTTTCATAATTATTTAAATATGAAGCTATCACATGAGCACACTACTACTCTATAATTTTAAAAAGTATAATTATAAAAAAACACTGAATGAAAGAATTTTTTGAGACAAGAATATTCATATGTTGCATAGATTACTATTGATTACAAAAGGAAAAATGCACTTAAAATGGAGAGATATGGCAGTCACCACCGTGATGGTGATCAAACTTAGCATCATATAGAGGGAAAATCTGAGAAGTTCAGCTTTCCAATAATTAAAAAGTAATCCCTTGTGGATGAAGCACACAGCACATTTTAAAGAAGTCCATTTTATTCACATGATGCCAAAGGTCCACTTCATAGACTATTTCTAATTACAGATGGGAAAATGCACCTCTACAATGCCTGCTTCTTTTCTGGACCCAATGAGGATGAGTGTTAGGACGAGAGATTGGAGTTGGGATAGTGAGGAGCTGGCGAGAAAGATTAGACAATGTGATAACAGCCTAAATAAAGGGGAGGAGACAGGAATATATTTAAATGACAGTGAACTGGCTTTGTTTGGTAGAGGATGGATTTAAAAACATTTTTTGATTTTTTTAAATATTCATATTGATTGTTGCAATGCAAATAAATAGTGAGGAAGAAAATGTGGATTTTTATGTTTGCAATTTTAAAGACAGCTTAAAAATTTGGCTATTCAAAAATCTCAGAAATTGAGTTGTTTTAAGTAATTAAATGTATTGATTAGCTAAGGCTTTATTTCTTGAAACACGAAGTAAAATATTTAGATGAAACTCCGTAATATTATACCCTCCTGCCATTCTAAAAAGCATATTTTCATATATTATCTATTTTACAGTTTATAAAATATTTAAAGTGCTATGTAAATGTATGGTAGTATTCTATACTTTTATGGTTTCTTGAGGAAATCTACTGATTATGAACATTAGTTATTTAGGAAGTTGTAATGCACTGACCCCTTCAGAGCCCATGACTGGTGTATGCCTGTTGGTCCTTGTTCTAAGTTACTTCAAACTATTTATTGAGATTATATCTGGTTTTCATATTTTTCTTTTATCTCATTTTCAGGCAGTTAATATTCCTTACTGTTTGCTCATGCTCAGGTCCTGTCATTTCTCTGCCATGCAATCCCATCACACCCAGAATAAAGTCCAGACCCTTTAATGTGCCCGCAGTACTCTCCAGGACTGAGTCTTATCCACTTCTCCTTCCCCTCGTGCCCTTGCTTCCTGGGCTCCAGCTACAGTGGCCTTCTTGTTCTCTCAAAACAGACCACATGGTTTTCATCCTCAGAGCCTTCGTACTTGATATTTCCTCTGCTTGATGTATCTTCTCCCAGATTTGTCTATTGCTGCCCCCTCATCATTCAGATTATGAATTCTCAGAATATTTTAGCCAAAGTAATCACTGAACATGCCCACACCCTTTCCACCTGTACCATGCTGTCATATTATACAATGTAATCTTCTTCAGAGCACCCATCACTGTCTGAATTCACCTAATTCTTTCTTTGTTTCCATGTTTATTGTCTGCCTTCCCCACTAGAATGTAACTGTCTTGCTTATCTCTGGCACATAAAAACTGTCTGGAATATAATTGGCACTTATATTTGATGATAATTCCTCCTGTAGCTAATCAACCTTGTTAAAATTTTAAATGAATTAAGAGTAAATAGGCTCTGGATGAGATCAGGGGGCTTCCCAATGGAAAAGATATCTGTCTTTTTGACATCTATTTTGAGTCATCAAAATGAGTAATTCTCATCCGAATTCTCAATAGATGAGGTTGCCAGTTGATTACCAGCTAGTCATATGTTTGTTTGAATAAAAGGTCTTTATATTTATCTTATGTAGAATTTTTTAAATTTATTCGATATTCTTAATTATTAAATTTGATATCTGGGGTCAGGGGAGAGGCACAGTCTTCATTTACTCTCAGGGGATGGCTCTAAATCTAGGTGGCCAAGGTAGATGAAAAAAATACACGTGGCCACGTGGTGGGTGCCAGGAACAAAAGTTTGGGGTTTTCAGTGTTGTTGACATTGTATGCACATTATGAGTGATGTCCAAGTAATTACTAATGGACATTTCAGCTGGAAACCTTGGCAAAATTCCCATGTCCAAGTTGGAGGTCATGGCCATTGACCTCCACCTATTTTCATATAGGATTAAGGAAGATTGATGATAAACTCAACTGCTACTCTTGAAGATCAGAATTAAGTTAATTCTGTCAGGGGACATTTATATTTTCTTTCAAAATAAAGATTTTTCTGATTAATAAAATCATAAATGCTCATTTTTATAGATATGATATCTGTATATATACATACACATATAGTATTTATTAAATTAATGAATATGTATTGAAATGACTGCTATGTGTCAGGCTCTCTAAGTGCAGTGAACAAAAGAAAAATTCCTGTCATTGTAGAGCCTATGTTTTAGTGGGAAAAGCAAAAGAAACAGAGTAAAGAAGGATAATAGAGTATAGTAGAGTAAATGCTAAACAGCATAGGGAAGAATATAAAAATTATTACTTGTAATCTCCTTCAAGACCAACAATGTGAATATTTTCTGCATTTCTTTTTTTATGCCTATGTACATATTTACTTAATCATGTGCAATTTTTACAAATATGGTGTATACCATGTATATAAAGTTTTATATAGTTTGCTTTTTTAAAAAACCTGATATTTTTCATGAGTATTTTCCTGTAACATAAGCTATTATTAAAAAATATGATTTTTAGTATCCAAATAGTATTTTATCAAATATATGTGACATTATTTATTTAACATTTCTATTTTATTTACATTCCTATGTTGTTGGTCATTCAGTTTCTTTCTAAATTTTCACTATTATAAATAACACTTTGGTGACTATCATAGTAACCTATATCTTGATTCTATTATTATCTCTGATCACATTACTTTTTTAGATTTGAGTGCTAGAAATATAATTACTAATCAAAGGGTCTGGACATCTTAAAAAATCTTGGAATTTGGAAAGCACCTCCTGTAGAAACAAAGCTCTTGAGAGTGGCTGAATTCTGGTACTTGCACCAGGTCCTTTGCAGCCACATTGTTATGATGTGTTCTCATTGTCCCTTGGACAGTTGGAGAGAGTCTGTCTATTTACTCTGGCTTCTGTGTTAGTCACAACTCAGGCCTTGGCTCTTTACCATGTTGCCATCTTGAGCAGATCAATTCTTATCTACTCATATAGCGTTAGCTGTTTGGCAGATTTGTATAATTCATTAAAAAAACATCAAGGGACATGAAAATAACTTTTATTGAGGAGACCTCTGTTGCACTAGGTGCATTTAATTCTTGAAATAGCCTTCGGAGGGCAATGACTTCCTCAGGTTGTAGGAGAAGTAACTGAGCCTAGAGGGCCACACAGTTGATAAATAGCAGAGGTGGAATTAGAACCAGAATGTGTCTAATTTCAGAGTTTAGGTTTTTTCTACCATTTTCTCCTTCCCTGAAAAAGCAATGATGATAATGACAATGATGACAACGACTACAAGGATGACAGTATTCATAGTAACAGCAAATCTTTTTTTTTTTATCCTCACCCGAGGACACCTTCCCATCTTTTGTTCAGATAGAGTGGGAGGGAGAGAGAGAGAGAGAGAGAAACATTGACATAAAAGGGACACATTGAGTGGTTGCCACCCACATGACCCAACCAGGGCCAGGGACAAACTGCAACCAAGGTACATGCCCCCAGCAGGAACCAAACCCAGGTCTCTCTGGACCGCAGGCCAGTGCTCCAACCGCTGAGCCAAACTGGCCAGGGCACAGCCAATCCTTTTAAAAGGCTCACGGTGTGTCACAGGTTATCTGATTTAATCTTCACCATAACCAATGAGGTATGTACCATACATAGTGTAGCTTTAGAAAGAAATGGAGGCTCAGAAAGATAAAGTGAGTAACCTAAGTCATCGATAGCAGGTAAGTGCTAAAGCAACCAAACATTAATCTGATCTTATTCTGATATTTTAAAATAAAGTTTGTAATTCTTAAAAATTTTCTTTGGCTTCTTCAGTGCTATTACACTGTAGTCATTTTGAGTAATTTGAAGCTCTTTGGAATCTTATTTTCATTAAGTCATGGCTATATTAACAATAATTTATATTTTAATAGGTTTGATAGCTTGAAATTTTTTTTCCAGTGCTGCTTTAATTCATAAATAGTGGGAGTGTACGATACCCTTTGAGGATATTCTCTTTCAGGAAATGAGGACACAGACGTCCAGATTGTTTGCCTAAGGTCTTGTGTCAAATCAGAAGCAAATGTAGAGCAGGGACTTAGCTTCTTATTTTAGGTCATGGAGCTGCTTTTATCTTGAAATCCTTTGTGTCCACATGTTGGGTTGTTGAACCTGTTGTATGAGATGGTTTGTCCAGAAAGATCTTGCTGTATTTTTTCTGACTGCTGTTTGAGAAAATTAGGTCTCTGGAAGTTCTATAGCTTGCAGGGCAGGAAAGGATCCTTATGGTTGATCTAATTTCTGTTTTGAGAAATGATCACAAGTATTTTTTTCTACATAAAATATGTATGTACTGCTCCCTTCTCATTTTAAAGATTTCACTAGAAAAAATTGGTAGGTTTGTAACGTTGGGAGCACTGAACATTAGAATAAACCTGAATACATTTTGGTGGTGACTCTTGTTTAAAACTTTACAGTCTCCATGTGTTCTCACCTAGCTTATTCGATCCTCTTAAGAAGAGTGTGGGATGCATAGACAGATTGTATCTTCATTTCCCTTTTCTAGTTAAGGACTGTTTCCTTGTTTAGTTGTTACTGATTCAAAGATAGCTCTAAGTTTTCTATTTCATTGAGTGTAATCTGAAATGTTACAGCTGAAAGGAACTGTAGAGATCATTTCTTCCAATCTCTTCATTTTACAAATGGAGGAAACAGGCCTAAAGAGAGAACATCACTTGCCTAAGATCATGTAGGCAGATACAGCAAAATCAAGAACTGGAACCCAGCTTTCCTGATTTTCGGTCCCTGTAATAAGAAGCACAAATATAATTTGCATTATAAGTAAAATTAAGCCATGCTCTGCTATCTTCTATGTTCTTATATTGCTTTTGTTTCTTGGAAATAGTGTGCAGTTCGTGCAGCCACAGAAGGCAGAACTCTCATTCTGGAAGGCTTGGAAAAGGCGGAAAGGAATGTTTTGCCTGTTTTGAACAACTTGCTGGAAAATAGGGAGATGCAGCTTGAAGACGGGCGCTTCCTGATGTCTGCAGAGCGTTATGACAAACTTCTCCAAGTAAGAAAAGAAAAATTCAACTGCTCTGACTTAGCTACTGAGCTATAGTAGTGCCATTTTTTGTATAAGACAAGACTGTATCAGAAGAAGGGCACATATGGCCCATATCTATGGCAAATTGCTGATGTCAAGTCACGAGTTTGCAGTTTTACAAAGCTTTTCTAATATTTGCCAATACCATATTAGAAAATCTCCAAGATTTTTACTTTTTCTTGCCAATTTAATTCATTCATTCCTTCCTTCCTTCCTTCCTTCCTTCCTTCCTTCCTTCCTTCCTTCCTTCCTTCCTTCCTTCCTTCCTTCCCTCCCCTTTTAATTCTTCCCTTTCTTTCTCCTTTCCTGTCTTCCTTTTTTCGTCTCTCAACAACTATTTAGTAAAAACCTAATGGCTTCTAGACAGTGGTGGGAATACAAAGCTGAAAAAGTTCAGTTCTTGGCCTCAGAAAGCCCAAGTCCAGTAGATACTGACAGAAATTAGTAAGATGTTTAAAATATACCCTGATGGTTCAAGCTGATGCCTGAGTTGTTCTAAGGGTCACCTAACTGGACCCCCTGCTTCCATCCTTCCTGCCCCACAGCAGCAATTGCTTTAAAACACGCAACAGGTCAGGTCATTTCCCATCAACTTCCAAAAATTCTGTTATCAGAACAAAATCCAATGTCCTCACAGTGAAACACAGGATCTGTTCCACTATCACCTCTTGGGCCTTATCTCCTAGCGTTCTCCTTTCTTACTGCACCCAGCTGTCAGAATTCCCGTTACTGTGTCTTAAACACGCGGATAGGCATTCTCCTACCTTGTTATAGGTGCTGTGTCCAGGCACTTGACTCTTCTGGAATGGTTTTCTCCCAGATATCTGCCCAGCTTACTCCTGTGCCTCCTTCAAGTCTTGGCTGAAATACTGTATTATCAACGAAGCCTGCCCTAACCCTTCTGTTTAAAATTGTGATGTGCCCTCTACTCCCTTACCCTGCTCTATTTTTCCCTGTAAAGTCATCTAACATTTTACATGATATACTTATTATATTTTTAGTTCATTCTCTGCTTCCCTCTATGAGATTATAACTTTCACTAGGGGAAGGATTTTTGTCACAGATGTTATAGCAGGCTCTTAGAGCAATGCCTGACACTGGGTCAGCGTTCAGTAACTATTTATTGGATGAATGAATAAGTGCAATAACATCTTTAAATGCTATGATACAAGTGCGTATAAAGAGGGCAACAACAAGGGAAAGTGGGGCCCTTCAAAGGCTTTGGAGAAGGGGTCTATAATGTCACACTGGAGCGTTCTGGCTAACCAAGTCCCCAGGGTCTGATGGCTCTGCCTCTGCAGTCCAGGATTCAGAGTCTCTCTCCTGTTCTCTAGACATACACATGTGCTAATCTTACTACCCCAGGTTGGTTACCAATTGCTCAAGAGCAGGATCTGTGTCTTAAGCTTCTTCTTGAGCCTGCTCCCAGGGAGCTGATACAAACCTAGAACAACCTAACACTAAATAGTAGATATTGACACCAGAGGGTCTGACTGAACTGATGCTCCATGGCCAGAAGGACAGGACACCTCCTTCTGATTCTGCTGTATGCGACTCTTTTCTCGGAAATCTGTCTTTCGATCCTTTCAGTTCCGTTTCTTTACTGTTTACAGGAGACCCTAGCTGGTATTTTCATTGTGCAGTATAGTTTTCTTTTGTCTGAATCTAAAGATGGCAACATGCTAGTATAATAACAAGGGGATATTTGAAGATTTTTTTTTAGAGGGAGGAAGGGAGAGAGACAGAGAGGGAGAGAGAGAAAGACATCGATGTGAATGAGAAACATTGATTTGCTGCTCCTACACATGCCCTGATCAGGGATGGAACCTACTACCTGGGTCTGTGCCCTGACCAGGAATGGAACCTGATACTTTTGGTCTATGGGATGACACTCCCAACCAGCTGAGCCACCTGGCCAGGTCCATGCTTGAGGATTTAATCAGTAAGAAGAGTTAAACTCATTTGTTCATATTGCTATAGTTAATTTATTAAAATGAAAACCATTTTATTATTTATTTATATTTAAAAATTTTGGTTTTTACATTTATATTTTACAAATAATATAAATAACTATACATCAAAGAATAATAATTTACATTTATTGTAAAAGTAGGTAGGTATGATACAGAACATTTTCTCTTTAGATACTTTCTAATTTCAAAATAACTATTATTTGCCTCTATATAGTTATTTGCCACTTTTAGCAAATGATTTGGAAAAGAATTCTTAGATTATGGAATTATTTTTTTAAGTATACCAGTTACTTTATAACAGAACTTCAATATACTATTTATTTGTATGATAGAATTCTATGCAAAGTTGTTGAACATATTACTTTGGGTAGGAATTTGGGATATGGGCTCAGACAGGTTTTAGTATACAAGAAGGCTTATTATTTATTTATTTATTTATTTATTTATTTACTTATTTATTCTCACCTAAGAACATTTTCAGATAGAGCGGGACACAGAGAGGGAGGAAGAGAGAGAGAGAGAAACATTGATGTGAGAGAAACACATCTACTGGCTGCCACCCGCACGACCCCAATTGGTGCCAGGGACAAACTGCAACTGAGGTACGCGCCCTTAGTGGGAACCAAACCCAGGTCTCTCTGGTCCATGTGCCGACACTCTAACCGCTGAGTCAAACTGGCCAGGGCAACAAGGAGGCTTATTATTATTAAATAAGAAGGATGTACTATAGTTTCCCCAATGTAAATATCAGTATAAATAAATACTTTTATTGGTAAATGTAATTTCTGTATCCATGGAATCTGTGTCATGGGAACCTCACAGAACATAGGCAAAATCTCTTCACAAAACACCACCACTTGAAGATAATTTGTTTTTCTTTATTGATTTTAGAGAGAGAGGAAGGGAGAGAAAGATAGAAACATAGATGAGAGAGAACATTGACTGGCCGTCTCTTGCATGCCCCACACGGGATTTGGCCCACAACCTGGGCATATGCCCTGACCAGGAATCGAACCGGTGACCTCTTGGTGCATGGGTTGATGCTCAACCACTAAGCCACACCAGCCAGGTGAAGATAATTTCTATGTAAAAGGATTTCAACACCATAACTGAAGTTCCACTTATTTCTAGCTAGATTCAATATAATAAATTTGAATATCTCAAAATGTTAATGGTTTTGTGGAGGTGATTATATAGAATATTAGAAAACACATACAATCAGTTTATATAAATTTTATTTATATTCCAATTATAATTTTCAGATAAGTAGAAAATAGAAATATTTAATTCTCTGAAAATTATCCTCTTGGTTTTTCAGACAGGGTTATATCCAGAGTCTGTTTTCAAGTGCATGTGGGATAGTGTCAGTGTTAGTCCTAGTAATTAAATGTAGGGCCATGAGTTTGGTAATGCTAGAAATAATTGTTCATTATTTTTAAAATTATTTTATGCATTGAATCAACAGACATAATAAGTCCTTTCAAGATCTTGGATCCAGCAAGAGACAGTCATGTATGGAAGTCAGTGCACAGATGTATGATGATAGGCGCTTGCACAGGACATAGTGGAGGGGTACAGAAGTGGTTCTGATGGAGGGAGGGGACTAGAAAGGGTCCCATTTTAAAGACACTATGTTTGTGCTGAGCTCTGGTTAATACTTGTGTTTAGGCTGTGCAGGGTGGAAAGAGTCTCCACATAGGCGGACCAGTGCTGGCGACGCAGCACAATGGGTCTGCAGATCCTCAGCTGTGAGATGGGCAGGAGCACAGGGTCAGGAGGTGGGCCGAGTGCGTGCGTGTGCAGTGGCTGCTGAGACAGGAGAATCAGCCGTGACTCTGGCCAGGAAAGGCCTTGAGAGTCCTAATAGTTTCTGCACTGTCCTGTGGGCCACATTCATGTCAACTTTGTAAGCTCCATGGATTCTACAGCTGACAGTAAAGAGCCTTTGACGAGGTCAGACAGAGATGGAAAGAATGGCACTTAATAGGTGCCTGCTATGGACCAGTTGCTTTCACATACATACATTTAATTTTCGTAACAGCCATATGATGTTGGTGATATTGTTCCCACTCCGTAGGTGAGGAAGCTGAGGCTCAGAGGGCATAGTGGCCTGCTCTTGGTCACTTAGCTGGAGTTTGCACCAAGCACTAGAGCCAGGCTTTATAAACCCAAGACCAGTGCTGTTTCCAGTCTCTCAACAACACTGTATACTCGTTGCAGGACCAAGGACATCACTTCTCTGAACATCAGTTCGTTTGCTTATAGAAAGGAATTAAATGTCTATTTAGATTCCGGTGAAAGTTAAATGAGAAAAATTCATGGAACATGCTTATCATGTAGTAAATTTTCAATATATATTAGTTATTACTATTACCATACCGTGGTCGAAACATACCCATAGACATAGTTATCTAGTTAAGGTCCATGGGCGGGCTCTGCTCTGCCAGTGGTCTGGCCTCTTGGACACCTTTTCACATCCTCTGGTCTGAGCCAGGATGTTTTCCGTACCTTCCTGACTTGGTTCCTTTGTATTACTATGTAGGGCTTAGAAATCTGACCCACATTTCCTTTGTTCCTTCATATGTTAGCTGCTTCTCCTTTTAACACCAGTCTTCTCCTTGTGAGCCTTTTCTGGCATCCTGATCCTTACTTCATTTCACTTCCTTTGTTGACAGTTTGTCTTGGAGAATATTCTCAAAGAGTTTACTCAGCCATCAGGACCTAGTTTTAGCCTAGGAAGCTCTTGCCATTGTAATATATATTAGTGATGCTGTAATTTTTTATCTCACATTCTAAGGATCATACCAAAACAGAGCTGGATGCTTGGAAGATCGTTCGAGTTAGTGAAAATTTCCGAGTGATTGCCTTGGGCTTGCCTGTGCCCAGGTACTCTGGGAACCCTTTAGACCCCCCTCTCCGTTCTCGATTTCAAGCCAGAGATATTTATTATCTACCCTTCAAGGTAAGGGCGAACAGGGACAATTTATTTTTTGCCTCTTGCTTTTTTTTTTTTGGTACGTGCCCCTAGCGGGAACTGAACCCAGGACTCTCTGGTCCACAGGCCGACGCTCCAACCGCTGAGCCAAACCGGCCAAGGCAGACAATTTATTTTTTAAACAGTTTTTCTATTCATAATATATTCAATTACTATGAAAGCGTTAAGTATGTTTGTAGATGTTTTCCTCAGTAGTTAATGATAAGAAAAAAGGATATAAAGTAAAGAAACTCTCTGGAAATGAGAAAGAAAAATTATTATGGTATTATTATTCTAACAGATTTTTTAAAAGACTACTCTTTTAAAGAGAATGACTTGTCAATAAATTATATTTCTTAATGACTTAGTGTCTGCTTAATTAAAAGATTGGATTGTCTATAAAACATTTGCATTTAATCCATTATATTCCCTGTTAATTATTTTGATGTTTCTATGTTATTTTAGGACCAACTTGAACTGTTATATTCTGTTGGAGCCAATGTTTCTGCTGAAAAGTAAGTCAGCAATACATTTACATATTTTTATATAAATATCTGGATACGTAACATTGAATTTGTTTTGCTCATTGATTGATTCATTCATTCAACAACTATTCTTTAAAGAATTTTTTAGTAACTGGTAAGTGCTGATGATAAAAATGATAAAGATAAAAATCATGATAAAGATATGATCTTTGGTGGCAAGAAACTCAACATCTGGTAGACATTAAAGATATTTGAATACTTTAGTTTAACATAGTGTGGTAAGGTAACACTTTCAAAGTATTGGGACTGTTGTGGTTGAGTTTATAAGGCCTCCATAAAGGCATTGGCATTGCAATGGGTCCTAAAGAATAAGTAGGCTTTGCCAGATGGAGAATGGAATTAGGAAATGTTAAGAATTTTTTTGAAGCATGGGATATGAGAGTATATGTCTCATTCTTGAGGCTATAAAAAGCTGCTGGTGGCTAGAGAGATTTAGATCGAAAAAGGTGGGAGGTGAGGCTGCCAGGTTGTGAAAAACTTCACATATTGTGATGGATTTCAGAAATATATCTGTTATCTAATCAGCTTCTGAGTTTTAAATAGAATATTTTAAGGTGGAGCTGTTGCTCCAAAAGAATTTAATAGTAGATGTCATCTTTTTAGATTAAACAGATTTATACATATTAAAACAATTAGAATAAAATTTAATATCATTTATCTTTTTCTCCTAGAATTTCTCAGCTTTTGTCCTTTGCCACCACTCTCTGTTCCCAAGAATCTTCTACTCTAGGACTTCCAGATTTCCCTTTAGACAGTTTACCAGCTGCAGTTCAAATCCTGGTATGTACAGAATAAATGAATGACTGGTACACTCAAATGTGGCAAAGAAAATCTGAAAGTTCATCCTTGGATATTAATCACTGCAGTTAACCTCGTCATATTCTTTTGTAAATATTGTAAGAACTGAGATTTATTTGTTGTGCAATGCAGCGAACTTTATAGAGACCAGAGGTGTGTTCTGAGCCCTTACAGAACTACAGTGTTAGGAGGGGAAGGTAGATATGCAATTCAAGTAAACCTTCCACAGAGGGAAGGACTTTGGCCTTATCACATAGGCAGTGGTTGTCAACCTTCCTAACGCCGTGACCCTTTAGTACAGTTCCTCATGTTGTGGTGACCCCAACCATAAAATTATTTTTGTTACTACTTTATAACTGAATTTTGCTACTGTTATGTCTTCGGCAACCCCTGTGAAAGGGTCATTCGACCCCAAAGGGGTCGCGACCCACACTTAAGAACCGCTGACATAGAGGTATGCTGTAGTGTAGGGTGTGCCTCAGTCTTGCCCCAGCCTGATGTGGGGGAGCTGGGGCTGTCACACTTTTGCGCCATCAGTCATTGGTTAATGGGCTTCCCAGACACTAGCTGTTCTCCCAGCCTGTGAGTACTGCTGGCTGCAGGAGCTCAAGGGCAGTCTTTTTGAAAAGACCAAGGAAGACATATAGCAGCTGGCTGTGGAAAGGGACAGCTGGGAGGCATCGAAAAGATGAGAATAGATCTAAGGGGCTTTGGTGAAGCACTGACATTGCCCACTACTGTGTCATAAAGGTCGTGACACTGGTGTCTGGAGTGGTGGAAAGGCCCTCCAGGCGGAGGGAACAGCGCTTGCAAAGGCATTGAATCACAAAAGGCCCTGGTATGTTTGGAGAATAACTTGTATCACTGGAGCAAACCTATATGGTGAAGAGAGAGGTTGGAACCTTAGAGTGAAGTGTTTTACCCAGTGAGTGAAGTTTTCTGAGTTTTATAATGTGGAAGAATCGGCCCATTAAGAACATTAATAAATAGGTCAGATGTGTATCAAACAGATCTACAGGGGTGGGCAAAAGTAGGTTTACAGTTGTTGGTAAACCTGCTATTGCCGACCCCTGTATGTTGGAGGAGGGGACCTCTGCAGGAAGGAGGGATGGGGGCGCCTGAGTGCACAGGGAGCACATAGGAGACTTAAAATAATCAGTGAGAGGCTTTGCTAAGGAGCATAATCCGAGGTAGTGGGAACACCACCTAGAGGAGACTTTTTTATTTTATTTATTTTCATCTTTTTTAAAGTTTATTTTTATTGTTGACACTATTACAGATGTCCCCATTTTTCTCTGCTCTGCCCACCTCCATCCAATTCCCACCTCCCTCTCCTCTGGCCATCACCACACTGTCATCTGTGTCTAGGTTGTGCATATATATTCTTTGGCTAATTCTTTACCTTCTTTCAGTTAGTTCTCCCTCCCTCCTCCCCTCTGATGGCTGTCAGTCTGTTCAATATATACATGCCTTGGTTTCTGTTTTGTCAGTTTATTTTACTCATTAGATGATACATATGAGTGAATCATATGGTATTTGTCTTTCTGTGACTGGCTTATTCTACTTAGCATAATAATCTCCAGGTCCATCATGCTGTCACAAAAAGTAAGATTTCCTTCTTTTTTATGGCTGTGTAGTAGTCCATTGTGTAATTGTACCACAGCTTTTTTATCCACTCATCTACTGATTGGCACCTGGGCTGTTTCCACATCTTGGCAGTTGTAAATAACACTGCTATGTACATAGGGGTGCATATATTCTTATGAGTTGGTGTTTTGGGATTCTTAGGATATATTCCCAGAAGGGGATCACTGGGTCCAAAGGTAGTTCCATTTTTAATTTTTTGAGGAAACTCCATACTGTTTTCCACAATGGCTATACCAGTTTGCATTCCCACCAGCAGTGTACGAGGGTTCCCTTTACTCCGCATCCTCTCCAGCACTTGTTTTTTGTTGATTTATTGATAACCATTCTGGCAGATGTGAAGTGATGTCTCATTGTGGTTTTAATTTGCATCTAATGGCAAGGGAAACAAAGGAAAAAAGAAACAAATGGGACTATATCAAACCAAAAAGCTTCTACACAGCCAAAACACCAACAAAAAGGAAAAGGGAATCCACTGTGTGAGACAACATATTCCCAGTGATACATCTGATAAGAGATTAATTTCATACATATATATAAACTCATACAACTCAACACCAGGAAGACAAACAATCCAATTGAAAAAATGGGCAGAAGACCTGGATAGACACTTCTCCAAAGAGAACATACAGATGGTCAATAGGCATATGAAAAAATATTCATCGTCACTAATCATCAGAGAGATGCAAATTAAAACCACAATGAGATATCACCTAGAAAATACAGTTTTAAACTTTTGCTGTTTTTTATTTTATATTTCCTTAGAGTCTGTGAGTTAGGTTTCCCAGGTATTGCTTATACCGTTTTATACATCTAGAATAGTTTTTCATCTTCTGTTTATTATATCTTTTTTTTTTTTTTTTTTTGCTTACAACTTTTTACTTGGACAATTCTTAAATCTAAAATAAGTTGAAAAGTAGTAAAATGAACATCTCTAATTTCTTCAAACAGAATCACCAATTGTTAACATATTGCCACATTTGCCTGCTGTCTCATTTTTTCCAAACCATTTGAAAGTATATGGCAGTAAACATTCTTAATACTTCAGTATGCGACTTCTCAGAATTAGGACATCCTCTTACATAGCCAAACACCATTATCACACCCCTCAGCACATTAACAGTAATTCTGTATCATCTAATAGATGGTCTATACTGAAATTTCTCTAGTTGCCTCTGTTAATAGACTTTCAAAAGTAAGGTGAACTGAATTGGGGAAGCAATTTGATTTGGAGGGGGAAGGATTTGAGGATAATGAACACTTTATAACTTTGTGGTTATAACTTTGGAGCTTGGTGAATGTGGATGAGATTAACTCAGATTAGGAATAAAGATGAAGGAGAGGTAGTTTGGGACAAGTAGCATAGGGAGATGTGTTCAGACATGCAGTTTCAGACATGCTGAATGGGGGTCTGTGGGGTCTTCATATAGTCACATCTAATGTGTAACTGAGGGTTCAAGTCTGGAGCTCAAGAAAGAGGTCAGGACTAGAGCTACAAAATGACAGCTGAAAGTTGGGAGTGGGATAGCTTACCAAGGTAAAGGCTGTAGAATAGGAAGAGGAGAGGAAATAATGAGTATTTGCTTATGTAGACTTCTGGGAAATATGAATAACTTATTGGTTATTGTTTATAAAGCAATTTTAATATCATATGTACATTTTCACATTTATTTTAGATGTTCCTCATTCACGTATATATTTTTTCCTAAATAGGATTCCTTTCCTATGATGTCAATCAAACATGCAATCCACTGGCTTTACCCGTACACTATTTTACTAGGAGAAGAAGGGAAGATGGCTGTGGAAGGTGTTTTAAAAGTAAGTATCTGCTTCCTTTCCTTCCCTTCCCTTCTTCCCATCCCTCTCTTTCTCCTTTCCCACTTTTTTTTCTCTCTCTCTCTTTCTTCCTTTCCTTTGCTTTTCCTTCTCTTCTTTTGCAGACATGGGGGCATTGGCTTGTCAGTGACTGGGGAAGAAAGCATTGAGGTGGCTGGTGTGGTTGGGAGATGGTAAATTGGGCAAATGAGTGAATATATTGAAGAGAATAAGAGCTGAATTTTTTACTGTTGGGGAAGGAATTTATAAACATAGAAAGAGGGAATGAAAGGACCCTTAGGTATTAGATTAGAATTAGAGAAATTGGTATGAACTCATTTTTTTCAGTATATATATGTATAAACAGATAGATATAGTAAATAGTATATATATGTGTATATATATATGCATATTTTTCAGCTCCATCCTCTAAGGGACCCCAAAAGTGATGACACTACAGTGGCAATGATCATACCAGGTGCTGAGCCATAGGTTTCTAAGTACCACGATTCCCTAAAAGTACTCCTTGGAAGTAGGGCTGATTCCGGGCTTGGGATAGAGAATGTGCATGATGAGCCTATTTATTCTAAAAAGTAAGGAAATGTTCAATAGATAATGTTGATGTTGTTAAAGTGATAGAGGAGCCAGTTGGGAGTGACTCCCACTGGCCAAATTCTGGGACATTTTAATCAAAATAATGGTAGTAATCAATGATAACCATTGAATAAAATAGGAACCCATTAGTTTATACAAATATAACTGAGTAGATAAGATCAATACATGGAGGAGAATGGAAAGCTTTTACATAATAGAATGCCTATTATTAAAGTAGAAGGAATTATATAAATAGAAAAAAATCACCGTTTGGCAACCATCAGAGTGGTGGTTGATTTAGGCAGAGTCATCAAAGGATGTCAAAGCTGGTGGAGGTTCTGTGAGGAACAGGATACTGGCAAAATTTAAGAACACTCCCCACCACCCCACTGTAATACTAGATTGACTGCCACAGAAAAATTTTCTTTCTATCGTAAACACCAACTTGACCAGGTGGGACACTATCAATTTCATGTGCCCCCTGAGAGTTATGCTAAGAAGAGCTCAGAGTTATTTCTTAGGTATTCTGGTTAAGAATTCATGGTGTGAGTTTATACAGGATGAAATGTTGTGTAGACCTAAGTTGAGGGCTGTCTTACAGAATGAAAGACCTGTATTCTTTGTAGCTGTCCAGGCCATGAAAACCAGACAAATTGAGGAATTGTTTCAGATTGAAAGAGACTAAAGAGATATGACAGCTAAATGCAGTGTATTCCTGCATTGGATCCTGGACCAGACAGGAACAAGTGACATTGTTGGCACAGTTGGTTAAACTTGAACAGGGTCTGTGGATTGATAGTGTTCTATTAAATTGTCTCCTCATTTAGAAATTTATATGGTGATTATGTTGGCCAGTTTTTCTTTATTAATTGAATTTATTGAGATGACATTGGTTAATAAAATCATACTGATTTCAGGTATAAAATTGTACAATAGATCATCTGTATAATGTATTGTGTGTTCACCATCCCAAATCAAGTCCCTTCCATCACCATTTATCCCCCTTGATCATCTTCTGCCTCCCCTACCCCCTTTTCCTTGTGGCAATTCCCATACTGTTATCTGTATTCCTGAGTCTGTCCTTTTTTTTTCTTTGATTAATCCCTTCACCCTTTTCACCCAGCCCCCAACTCCCTCCCCTTTGACTACTGTCAGTCTATCTCCGTATACATGAGTTGGTCTCCACTTTGTTAGCTTATTTTGTTCATTAGATTCTACATATAATTGAAATCATGTGGTACTTGTCTTTCTCTGACTGGCTTATTTCACTTAGCATAATACTCTCTAGGTCCATTCATGCTATCAGAAAAGGTAAGGTTTCCTTCTTCTTTTTTTGTGGTGGAGTAGTATTCCATTGTGTAAATGTACCACGGCTATTTATCCATTCATCTACTGATAGATACTTGGGCTGCTTCCAAATCTCGGCTATTATAAATAATGCTACAATGAACATAGGGGTGCATATATTCTTTTGAATTAGTGTTTTGAATTTCTTTGGGTATATTCCCAGAAGCAGAATTGTTGGGCCATAAGGCAGTTCCATTTTTAATTTTTTGAGGTAATTTCATACTGTTTTTCACAGTGGCTGCACCAGTGTGCATTCCCACCAACAGTGGAGGAGAGTTCCCTTTTCTCCACATCCTCTCCAACACTTGTTGATTTATTGATGATAGCCATTCTGATAGGTGTGAAGTGATATCTCATTGTGGTTTTAATTTACATTTCTCTGATAATTAGTGACTATGAGCATCCTTTCATATGTCTATTGGCCATCTGTACGTCCTCTTTGGAGAAATGTCTATTCAGGTTTTTTGCCCATTTTTAATTGGATTTTTGTTTGTTTTTTGGTGTTGAGTTTTTAAAAGTTCCTTGTAAATTTTGGATATTAAGCCCTTATCAGATGAATGTTTGGTGACTATGTTCTCCCATTCAGTGTGTTGTCTTTTCATTTTGTTGATGGTTTCCTTTGCTGTATAAAAACTTTTTAGTTCAATGTAGTTTCATTTATTTATTTATTTTTGTTTCCCTTGACCAAGGTGATATATCACCAAAAAAAAAAAACAAAAACAAAAACAAAAACAAAAAAACATTGCTAAGAGAAATGTCCAAGATTTTACTGCTTATATTTTCTTCTAGAATTTTTATGACTTTGAGTCTAACATTGACGTCTTTAATTCATTTTTTTTTTTTAATTCTGTGTATGATGTTAGAAGGTGGTTTAATTTCATTTTTTTGCATGTATCTGTCCAATTTTCCCAATACCATTTATTGAATAGACTCTTTACCCCTCTGTATGTTTTTGCCTCCTTTGTCAAATATTAATTAACTGTAAAGGCATAGGTTTATCCTGGGCTCTCTATTCTGTTCCATTGATCTCTATGTCTGCTTTTATATTAGTGCCATGCTGTTTTGATTACTGTGGCCTTGTAGTATAGTTTGATATCAGGTAGCATGAGTCCTCCAATTTTGTTCTTTCTCAAGATTCTGTGGTTATTTGGGGTCTTTTTGGTTCCATATAAATTTTTGGAATATTTGTCCTAGTTCTATGAAATATGCCAGTGGTATCTTGATAGGAATTGCACTGAATCTATAGATTGCTTTGGGTAGTATGGGCATTTTAATGATGTTAATTCTTCCTACCCATGAACATGGTATATGCTTCTACTTTTATCTTCTTCGATTTTCTTCTTTAAGGTCTTAAAACTTTCTGAGTACAGGTCTTTTATATCTTTGGTTAATTTTATTCCTAGGTATTTTCTTCTTTTTGAAGCAATCGTGAGTCTAATTATTTTCTAAGTTTCCTTTTCTGATAGTTTATTACTGGTGTATAAAAATGAAACTGATTTCTGGGTATTTATTTTGTATCCTGCTACTTTACTGAATTTGTTTATCAGTTCTGGTAGTTTTTTTGGTGGAAACTTTAGGGTACTATATACAGTATCATGTCGTATGTAAATAATGACAGTTTTACTTCTTTCCAATTTGGATGCCTTTTATTTCTTCTTTTTGTCTGATTGTTGTGGAGAGTTACTATTTTTAAGAACTATGAACTGGAGTGTTTAGGGGTAATGGGGTGTCATATCTTCAGATTACTCTCAAATAATTTAGAAAAGACCAGTGATAGTATGTATGTGTAGGCATGACTGGAAGGAGAAAGGGAACAAATATGCTGAAGTATTAACCACCATAAAGTATGGATGAAGGCAAAATAGAGTTTTTTGTACAACCATGTAACTTTGTGCATGTTTTAAATTATTTCAAGATATAAAATTTTAAGAAGTGAATGAATATCCAGTATAATTCATTTCAAAATTTAAAAATCTTTTAAAAGCAAATGTAAAATAACAGTAATTTAAAATTTATCTGCCTGTAACTTAAATTATTAACTTGAAAAGAAAGCATTTTATATAAAAATGTGGAAATTACTATATAGCTTTCATTTAAACTAAGGAAGCTCTCACTTTTGTCATAAGTGATTTATAATACATGGAGCATGGTTTTGTTTTAAAATACACTTGGCATAATTTCTTCATTGCATAGTTAATGGTAGTGTTTTCTAAAGGGCCAGTTATACTATATTGTATCTTATAACTATATATTTAAAAGTGCTGACCCTTGGCAAAGATGTATTGAATCACCCGAATTAATTCCTTTTTATAAAAGACAGTTTTTATTTCTCTTTTCCAGTTTGGCTCAAGGTTCAGATTTCTTTGGCATGGGTAGAATGTGAGCAATAAGCTTTTGTGGCTATGTGTATAGATCTTCATCTTCTAGAGGCCAGAATTTGGCAACCTAAAGCATATGACATGGTATTTGTTTCTCCCCTATCCCCAAATCTACACGGGCATTTTGTGAGTACAGAGTACATATTCTCTATGCAGCTAGTAGCAGTGAGAAGAACTCAGAAGAGTGGAACAATAGATTCTGGCTACTTCAGTGGAATTTTTTTTTCACATATCAGCTAGCCAAAACACAATATTTTTATTGATTGGTGGTGTCAATAATAATAATGAAACATAAATAATAAAAAGCTGTTCCACATAGATGCCGAGAAAGTGTAGTTAGAGACAGAATTGAAAACAAAGCATAAAGAAGCAAAGGGAAAATAAAGGTCTAAAGAGGCAAAGGAAAGTAGAAGAGACAGCAGAATATAGAGGCAGAGCTGGGCACAGTGAAGTAGCCACCACTGACGAAAGAGAAAGAGGTCTGTGTGTGTGAGAGAAGGGTGGAGAGGGGAATGGGGAAAAGAGGAGAGTGGGAGAGGGAGGAGGAGAAGAAGGTGGAAGAATATTAAGGGGATAACCATTTGGAAATAGAGAAATTAATTCACAGACTCAAAGAGTTAGGAAACTACTATTTTCTGACTATAGTTTACTTTAAATTTTATTCCAGGTGTTAGAGAAAAGAAA